CGGGTAGGTTGCTGGTGTATTTCACACCTATTGTTTACAGACAGCAACTTACAGGCTGCTCAGCTGGTTGTCTTTTCTTTGTGAGGTGGTCCCTTTACTCCAGTTTAGAAATCCTGTAACGCGACGCAGGGAAGGAAGGGGCAGTCAGGAGGGCTGGGCACTCGAGGGGGGTGAGTAGACCCGGCCTTTGGACACCTTGAGCCACACCTGTGTCACCTTACTCTCTCAGATGTCTTGAAGGTGGCGCCACCCTAACAGTGAGTTTCTCCCCTTCCAGGTTTGAGTACCTGTTTAATTTTGACAACACGTTTGAAATCCACGATGACATAGAAGTGTTAAAGCGGATGGGGATGGCTTGTGGCCTAGAATCAGGAAGCTGTTCAGCCGAAGACCTTAAAATGGCGAGAAGTTTGGTACCTAAATCTCTGGAACCTTATGTGACAGGTCAGTCAAAGCCACCCCACTCCCCACAGTGTCTTTGCCAGATACGCCCTCCAGCTTGGCTCCTCTTGGAGCTCTGGACTGCATGGCTGGCTCCCCTTTGGCTGAGCTTGGCGTCATCAAACACATAGGGGCCGGAGCGCTGGGGCAAACGGCCGAGAAAGGCCCAAAGACCGCGGTTGAGAAAACGTTTTGTGGGTGGTGCTGGAAGAGTTGATGGTGGTGTCCCCGGATAAAGGGACGTGGGCTTATAGTGAAATGAGTGCCCAGTGGCATTCCCCTGCCGGGACTCCTCGTGATTTGAGGATTCGGAGCATCTTGTGGTTTTCCCCAGGTTGCTCCTACGCTGACAGTGTTCAGAAAAGTCAGGATTTCTCCTAGCAGATTTTGACCCAAGCTTGGGGTGGGGGCTGCACGGCGGGGATCGAAGTTCTTTGGGGAGTGTGACAGGGCATGGGGAGCCTACCTCCGGGTAGTCGCCATGAGTGGTCATTACCCAGTACCCAGGGAACCCCGTTTCAAGGTGACTCAGTGTTCTGCCCGCTGAAGTGGCATTCCTGCTTTGGAACGTGGACGAATGACCACGTGAAAGTGGAAGGCGCTTCTCTGTGTGATTCTTGGACTTTTGTTGGGGTGCAGCTACCGCAGCTAAGCTCTGAAGGCTGCTGGCCACAGACTTAGAGGAGAATGGCTTCCCAGTAAAGTGGAGAAATGGTGAACGGGCTTTTCTTCATTCCTCCCGTTGGCCTCCGTCTGTGGTTTGGATTATTCCTTGAGAAGAATTGCCCGGAGGAGGCCAGAAAAGCCCTCCTCGCAACCGGGGGTTTTCTTACACCTCCCCAGAAGAAATAAACATCTGCCCGAGTTTTCCGACCATCCAGTGGAAAACCAATTCCATTTTCTTGTATCTGGCGGCCCTCACTGATGCATTTAAACCCACCGCATGTTGTCCTACTTAACGGAAGGGCATGTGCTTGGGGAGCAGGAAGGGCGAGGACCAGCATGTAGGCTGTTAGTACCGCCTCTCAACGCGAGGCTTGATTTCAGATGTATGAAGCAGTGTTAGTATAGTAGCACGTGGATATTACGTAAATGAGAATGTATACTAGGGGGCTTCAAAAACCTTGTGGGAAAAGGGAATGAAAAGATTGTGGTATTTCCCCGGAAACTTTTGGGAGCTCTTTCGAATGTGCTAGAGATTTCCGTGCTGGTTTAGGAAGAGACTGGTAGGAGGCTGTGGTCTTATATGGGTCACATGAATGGGTCTGTTTAAGAGTGCTCCCTGCAGGCAGGGGCGTGGCTGGTTTTCCTGTTTGCTCGGGATCCGTGGTGTAGAATGGGGTTTGCACGGAGCAGTGCGTTTGTCTCTCGGACATTCGGGGTCTTCCTCGTCTTCCCACGGCCACGTCGTTGCAGCTGGGGTGACTCCCGTGACATTCGGGGTCTTCCTCGTCTTCCCACGGCCACGTTGCAGCTGGGGTGACTCCCGTGACGTTCGCTCGTGATGTTTTCATCAGGTTTTCTGACGTTGGCTCTGTTCTCTCTCTTCAGAAATGGCTCAGGGATCAATCGGCGGTGTCTTTGTCACATCATCAGGTTCAACTTCAATTGGCACAAGACTTTCTGCCAGGTAAGGGCACTTCCTGGGCCCACCTTATGGTGGGTCACAGAAGGCGGGCTTCTCCCTGATGCTGGGGCTGCAGCGTGGGGCCGGCGGGCTGGACGTGGATGGTGGGGGTGGAGGGGGATGGTCGGTGTGGGTACGTTGGTTGGTTAGTTGGGTCAGGCTGTGCTCTGCCAGGATGTGTTAGTTCGGGTAGACTAGAGAAGCAAAGGCAGGGAGACACGCGTGTGTATAAGAGCGTTCTGTAAAGAGTAATATTAATATTAAGAAAACACCCCAGCCCAGTTCAGATCAAGTCCATAAGTCCCATCTTGGCCCATGTGTCCGATACCAGTCTGTAAATTCCTCTTCAGACTCACACAGCCATGCAGTAATACCAATGCAGGAAGATCACAGGCCATTGGTTGGAAAGTTGTGGATCCAGTGGTGGTGGAAGCATCTCAGCGCTGGTGTGGGTCTTCAGGTGGCTCCTTCAACACCAGGGCTCTGGTGCCATCAGTGTAGCTCCATGTGGCTTGTCAACAGGAATGTGTAGCAGAGAGAGTGTGTCTGGCTTCCAGTGAGCTATTTATCGCCCTCGCGCCTCCAAATCAAGGTCATCAGGCTGCGGCCTGATTGACAGGCTGGACTCCACCCCTTTGCAGGTTGACAGGAGGTTACATAACTGCCACACGGGAGTTCGGATTTTAGCCTCTGCAGTTCAGAATGCCCACCAAGGTGGTGTGACTGTTTTACAAATTGTCTAATCGCCTAAATCCCTTCGCTCTTTAGAACTTGATGAATTCTGTTGCGACCGCAGCAGTTCTCAACACTTGGCAATTTAGCCCCCTCCCCAATTCAAAGGTGACTTCAGAAAGCACAGCCCACTGAGGGCATCCTACCATCACGGGCTTTGTCCTGTGTCAGAGCAGCTTGCTGCTTCCTCTCGCGTCTTCTCCCCGTATGTTAAAATGCAGGGCGCGTGGCTTTGCTTGCTTGTTTCTTGGAAGCTGTGTCCGTGCCCTCAAGTCGACTCCACTTCGTAACAACCCTGTATGACCAGGGTTTCCAAGACTATGTAACTTCACTGGATCAGAAAGCCACCGCCTCTTCTCCCATGGAGTGGCTGGTGATTTCGAACTGCTGACCTCACAGTCAGTAGTCCAAAGCATAACCCATGACGCCACCAGGCCTCGCATGTTAGCTCTGGGGCCACAAGTGGTTAAGTTGGGATCCGCGGGGGCGGGGGGCCTGAGTTAGAATCAAGTCAGTGGCAACGGTTCACAACAAGTACACAGTAAAGTAGGGGCAGCAGTCTCCCCAGATCCTCCCACTGCTCGGCGGCGGTGTAGCCACAAGTGACATTGTGGAGTTGTTTGTTTTTTCCTCCCAACTTTTCCAGAGCATAGTTGAGGTCAGAGTGCGCTAACTTTGTGCCCATTGTGCTCCTCTTTGCCACGCAGACGTTTCTTAGACGGAGGCTTTATTATTTAAGGAACACCCAGTGCGGTAGCAGCCCCACTTGTGGCACTTCTCCCCAAGGAGACGGCGACATGAGCAGAATGGTACTGGACCTAAGCATTTACCTCAGTGCTTAAAAAACAGACAGACAAACCAGTTTTATTGACATGCAATTCACATCATAAAATTCAGTAATTCAGCATTAACAAGAGTTGTGCAGTCATTACCACAATCAATTTTGGAGCGTTTTCTTCTTATATTCATTGTTATTAACTTCCTCCCCAGTCCCCAGGCTCCCCTGGCACACTCCTAAGAAACCATTAAGCTAGTTACTGTCTCTATAGATTTATCTGCCTTGGATTTCTTTCCTTTAAAAAAAAAATCATTTTATTGAGGGCTCGTACAACTCTTATCACAATCCATACATACATCCATTGTGTCAAGTACATTTGTACATTTGTTGCCATCATTTTCAAAACATTTGGTATCAGCTCCTCATTTTTCCCTCCCTTCCCGCCCCCCCACTCCTCATGAACCCTTGATAATTTATAAATTATTATTTTGTCATATCCTACACTGTCCGATGTCTCCATTCACCCACTTTTCTGTTGCCCATCCCCCATACCCTGGATTTCATATCCAGAAAAATGTTTTTTAAAAACTACAAGAAACAAAGTGAAACAGAAGAACCTCGATTGAAAAGGAAGCAGAAGATATTAAAGACTAGAATAAGCGTAAACTGCATCAAAGAGGAGAGCAAGTGATCATCAGGTGCTCGATTCTAACCTTCCTGCAATAATCCACTTGGAATTGCCTCCTGAGTGAGGTAGCACGGCTGCTCACATTCCCGGCCTGGGATCAGAGGGGATTCACCGAAGGCTTACTCCCTGTGTCCATGATTACTAGTTTCCAATGGAAACAACTCTAAAAGGTGTCAAAGGGGAGACCAAATGAGAAGGTAGTACATTTTAGCCTCACTGTACGGCTGTGATCTACATGATAATGCTTTCTGATAGATAACTAGGCTATTTACAAACTAAACAACCATCGGAGGATTCGCCAGAGGCTTAATTTGCAGACCCTACAAGTGGATTTGGGGCTTCCACTGTCATCCATGTCCTTCTGCAAACCAGGTGTTCACAATTCAAGTTCTGATGGCATTTCTTTCTTTGGGTCTGGATTTTATTGGCCTTAGTGTTTTTAAGATAAGTAGGGGGGTGGGGGGCTTCAAAAAGTTTGTGGGAAAAGCCCAGTATCTCTTATTTCCATTTTTCTGTGAACATTTTGAAGTCCTCCTGTATTAAGTAATTTTAATATACTGACTATCACCAGAACAATCACGTAGTACTTTCTGTATAACACATTATTTTACTTTACGGTCGTCTGGAATAATAATAAAAGATGTTTAATTCCCTGAACTCTTAAGATAACGTAGAAGCAATCAATAGGTAATGAATTATGGTGTACACAGAACTACATAGGGTAATTCTGCAGCCACTAAAAAGCAATGCCTTGGAGCTGCACGTGGCAGTGACGAGGAGAGCAGGGCGCGTTACTGAGTGAATCGTGTAGCATGATTCTGAGACATGTACGTAGAGGTAGGATAGCATGCAGCAGGTGCGGGAGTCAACTCTGGCTTTGCGCGTCCCGGTTCTTCAAGCTGCAGCCTTGTCAGCCCCCTGAAGAGTGAGGTGCAGATGTGGCTGACTTGTTAGAAAGATCCAGTGAGATGATGCATGCTAAGTAAAGCTCTGTGTGCACCGCCTGCTGCCTGGAAAGAGTTGTTGGTAGATGTCACCTACCCTGGTTTTGAATTAAAGATGGCTAGCTAGTTTTACATGCATTAATCTGTAAAGTATTCAACACTGGCTATTCTAAGAAATTGAATTTGAACATTAAAAGAGAAAAAAACACACATGCATATAACATTTTCAGACTGGTCACTTGTCAGTTTTTTTGTGCAACCAGTAAAACCGTAGGCACTTGGGGGAAGACCCAGTTTGGATGGCGTGATCCCACGTTGTCCAGAGGCGCGTCCTTCTAAGGGTTTGCATTCCTGTGGGACACTTAGGTGGTTTCCCTTTAGGAGAAAAGCCTCCTCAAATAGCTTTAGATTGGTTTTCATTGGTTTTTTGCAAGGCAAGGCTTCCCAGATGTTGAATTATTCTGAAAAAGCATAACATTTAATAGTTTCTGCTGTACAGCATTAATAAGTACCAAGTTCAAGGCGTTCAAAGGTATGTATCAGCTAAGTGTTAACCTGCATCGGCTGCAAGCTCTGGCCTGTGCTAATTCTGGGGCTAAGAAGGCTTCAGGGATCATGATAGATAAATTACCCAATTAAAAACAACTCTTGCTAACTTAATCGTTTCAGGTCCCACTTGGGTTCCTTGTCCTGTGGGTTGGGTGAAAGTTTACGAAGCGAATCCGTTTCCCACTCAACACTTGTTCACGTGTGGTGGTCATGCGTGCCAGGCCCACAGCGCAGCGGCACTCTTCACACGCCTCCTGTTTCCATTTGCTCTGCTCTCCGCCTTCCGGACTTTTCTTGGGGTGGGCGTGGGAGGGGGCGTAAATGCAGTCCTTCATGGTTCATCGTTTTGAGGAGCACCTTACAGTGCGATTCTTCACTTAATCAGACCTGTCTATTGCTTGGCTAGAGGTGATGTTGAAGAGAAGGCTCAGTTCCAGGTACGCAGGGTGGGTGTCTAGGACAGCGTCATTTCTATGCATTTGAACTGCGCTCTGCGTTTTCCTCCTGCCCCACCTGGGCTCTGCTGTACTGTGCTCATCAGGAGTGGTAGCTGGGCACCATCTAGTTGTCTGGTCTCCAGCTAGTCGGGCTGTGGTTTGTTCAGTCCATGAGGTCTTCAGATGAATGTTTCCTGGAGTCTTTCATTATCTTTCTTCCTTTTTTACTCCCACAAGTGTCTGAGACCCCACTAGCTGCTCAAAGTTGGATGTAAAAGGTTATGTTTTTGGATTGTGTTGGACCATTTGACCTGTCCCCTGAGACGAGGGTCCTGCGTCCACGGAGGCTGTTGGACTCAGTCCTTTACTATGACTCAGTGCTTTGTAGAACACAGCGCCCTGGATGTGATCCCGTATACCTGGACATCCTAGCAGCACATACAAGTATGCATATAGAAATACTCGCTGCCAAACCTGTATGGAGGAGCCCTGGAGGCACAGTGGTTTTGCATGGGGCTACAAACTGCATGGTCAGCAGTTCGAAGCCACCAGCCGCTTTGCGGAAGAAAGACTGGGTTTTCTGCTCCCAGAAACAGTTACCATCTCAGAAACCCCCAGCAGTGACTCGATGATAGCTAGTTTGGGTTTTTTTGTTCTTGTTTTGAAACCTGTAGATGCTGGTGAGTATATTCCTGTATCAAAGCTCTGGTGGCATCATGGCTCTGTGTTGGGCTGCTAAGCAACAGGTCAGCAGTTTAAAATCACGAGCCACTCTGGGAGAAAGACAAGTCCTCCTAGTCCCAGAAAGAGTTTTGAGTCTTGGAAACCCACAAGGACAGTTCTGCCCTAGCCTACAGGCTATAGAGTAGGAATAAGCTTATGTAGCTACTGACATATCCATTCATAAGATATCTTTTGTTATTACTATTACTGCAGGATCCCCTCTGTCACGGTATTTACCATTACTGCCTTTTACTTTTGTGACCTCCCGGTCTTCCTTTGTTTGGCCATGTTGTGCAAAACTCACTGTGCTGGCCATATTCTCAGCACAGTTCTGACTCTTTGATGCCCTCATCAGTTCAAAAGAGTTTAGCTCTGTAAAAACCGACCTACTTTACACCATGGCAAGTAGTGCTGAGGCCAACGAGGTGGGATGTCAGAGACGGTGTGGTGGTAGTGTATGAGATTTGCCCTTGGGGAAAACATCTCAGCGCTCATGTTTAATTGCATTCGGTGTTGTCGACTGACAATAGTCGATTGGCATGATCTATATCCAGCTTTAAGTTCCAAGTTGGCATCTCTTCAATACTCGGTGTTTTTAAGAATACCCTTTTCTTGCTCTTTCACTCGGATGCAAAGGAAATTGAACTGATTTTTTGCGAAAGCCTAAGCAAACATAATTCGTCGTGGCAGTGTGGCCCTCGCATTTCCAGCTTTGGTTGGCTCTGTGAGAGATGATGGGACTACAAGTATTGACGACATAGTGGTAATCGCTGCTGTGGTGATGGGTGGGCCCGAGGGGTCTTTGACATACCAGGATTTGTTTCTCAGACCTCCGTTAAGTTCTAGGCCAGGGCCACCCTATAGCTACATTGCGGTAGCGTGTTCAGCACCATCCTCTACCTCACCTGCCAGAGCTCCCCTCACCCCTGGTTGTGACAGCTTCCCTTGTGACGACCAAGAATGTCTCCAGACATTGCCAGTGGCTCCGGGGTTCTAGTCGCTGTTTCAGGCTGTGACTCCCAGAAGCACATGGAAAGCTGGATGCTTCCCAAGGACCATTCCCCTGGGAGGGCCTGGCTGAGGGCAGGGTTCATCCCTCCCGTGCCTATGCGAGTGCCCCACCGCCGGCACTTCTCTAGGGGCCCCTCCTGCCCACTTCTCCCCGCGAAGGCCAGCTGGCTTCCCGCAAGCACGTTCACAGGTCGGATACAGCTGTCGGGTCCTCTGAGCTGTTCCTGGACGTGCCGCTCGCAGCGTACTCGCCTAAAGAGAATCACCAGAGGACTTGCTAAAACTTGCACCAGGCACCCCACGAGAACCCGGAGGTGCACCCTCACTCACTGCCACCGACTTGATGCCACCTCAGCAACCTTGTGGCACGAGTAGGGTTTCCAAGGCTGTAGCTCTTTACGGGAGTAGAAAGCCCCGGCTTTCTCCCCGG